GTGAAGTGATGGCCACACTGGCCTTGTGCTTTTCATCTAACCATCTTTTAAGGATTTTAACCTGAATTGTAAGTTGATGCATCTGTGTACTTGTGCTTCTCTATTAATGACAGGGTACTCTGGACACTGCAGGTTCAGAGGTGCTCTCCAAACAACTAGCAGAACCCTACAGTCTTCTTACCCTTTCCTTCCTTAATGCAAAGTTAAGTGAAACAAGACTCAAGCTTAAATTCCAAGCTAGATTTTTTTCCTCTGTTTTGATACAGTATTTTTTTTCCTCCAAAATCAATTTTAAGAAACTTAAGCCCTAAATGCTTGCAAGTTTGAATGACAAATTGCTTACAGGCAATCTAGAAACCTATCTTGACCTATGAGACAAGAAACTGCTTCACTCCTACCCGAAGTCATAGGAAAACAGGACATATTCACTTCAAGTTCTCTCAAAGCCCTTGGGAGAAGCTCTTGTATAGCAAAGACAGGAATCAGTCTTCTGACAATATTTTAAAGGAAGATGAATTAATTTATCTAAGCTTTGCTACTAAACTCGCTTCTTGCACTTAACTAGGGATTTATATTATTCTGTGTATTAAAAAAAAAAACCAAAAAACCCTTCCTATTTTCTTAAGCTATTAGATGAGAGTTTGAAAAATAATTTAAGCCTACCATATTATATTTTTGGAGGTGTCCTGGGTTCAGCTACAGCAGTCATTTTTTCTCCTTCTTAGTAGCTGGTGCAATGCTGTGTTTTTGACTTTCAGTCTGGGAACAACGCTGATAACACTGATGTTTTTAGTTGTTGCTAAGTAATGTTTACTCTGACCAAGGACTTTCTCAGTCTCATGCTCTGCCAGGGAGGAGGGGAAGCCAGGAGGAAGCAGAGACAGGACACCTGACCCAAACTGCCCAAAGGGCTATTCCACACCACAGCACGTCATGCCCAGTATAGAAACTGGGGGGAGTTACCCGGAAGGCCCAGATCGCTGCTCGGGTCGGGCTGGGTATCGGTCGGCGGGTGGTGAGCGGTTGTGTCCTTTTCCCTTGTTATTCCTCAAATTTTTGCCAGGAAGAAAACAGCAGCATCTCCTGGCTCTGTGCTCCCACACACACCACTTTGAAGTGACCTGAATACCAGCATAGGATCTACTGCTAGTCTGGGAACTCCTCCCTCACTGCTTTTTCCTTATGTATGTGAGGCTTTTAACATAGGGTGTTGGTCACATTAAACTCAATAACTACTCAAAAAACACTTTGTAAGTAGCCCCCTGATTCATATATACCTGAACAAAGACCTGAGTAAGAGGAGTTAACTGCAAATATGTGGTCTTTTTACTATTTTGTTATAGTGCAGTAAAAACACAAGAGGCAGTTCACACTCTTGGAGCAAACTGCATTTTAAAGACTCATTCTGACTTCTGGAAATTTCCACTGAAGATTTTATTTGAAAACAAATTAGTTCTTAGGTTATGCTATGTAAGGTAAAAATTCTAACATGAGTGGTTTGTGTGAAGCCATGTTTTCTTTCACCAATTTGCAAGAATTTAGTCTTTAAAATACAGAACATACCCACCCAGGTATTACTGTAATTCAATGTTGCAACTGTAGTGTAAAACGGACTGCTTTCTCTACAATGTTCAATTTTATGAAGACAAGCTATTCTGTTTTAAATGCCTAAGTAAATACATCCATAACACTCTAAAAACCAGTAACCACACTATCAATTTTGTACAATGAGTTTTGAGAGAGATTATTTTGGGAAATTCTCTTTTCAAACAGCTGCTCCAGACAGCAGGTACAGTACAGGAGCCAGTCGGTATCTGTAAAGAAAAAGTACCACTTCACATCTTGTAATAAAGCTGAAGGCTGCACCCTAATGAACATTTGCTACATTGTTTGCTGTTGATTTACATTTTGCAGCACCCAAGCTGCCCATTAGCAAGTGCAAACCTACTTGACACAGTAAAACAAATGAGGAACTTCTCTTTGGCTTTTAAATTGAGCAGCAACTGCATCTTTTCTTTTTTTTTTTTTTTTTATTTTTCTGGCGAATATAAAGTTTAATATTGAAACATCAAAATATTTGATTGTAATACAATGAAACATAAATACCTATTGCAGTCTAATTAAGCAGATAATACCATTTCCAGCTCTACAGGGCAGATTTTCACCTGGCTTCCAGTCTGTTTGTACATACAACAAGGATATCGGTTTTAATTCAGAAACCCTGGATTTTAACAACACAGCTATTGCATGTACACCTATAGTACATTACACAAACCCTGATTTACTCCTTTGTGCAACAACCTGATTTTAGCCATACAGTGTTGTCTAGAGTGCTGCAGCAGACCCTCAGTGCTGGAAGTGTTAATCTGTGTTTTACAAACCTTCCTTTTTCTCAGGCTAAGGTCTTAATGTATTTTCATTACTTATTAAAAATATCTGGTAGTATTGTCAAATCAGTGGGATTAACCTACTTTGCAAAGGAAATTAGGTCAGTTACTATACTTATGCTCAGCCTTCAACTCTCATGTACCGTTACAGCTCTCTTGCATCCTACAAAATGGGCATTTTCCTGTGGAAAACACCTATCTGTGTGCAGCAGCAGTCTGCTTTATCTCACACTCAAACACAACACTGAAACAAACACACTGGGGTAAAGGACCCATCACTTGTGATTCGGCTCTGCTGATAGAAACAACTTGGCCAGAGAAGCAGCACAACTGCGTACTTTTAAGTGACTCAGTTCACAGGTTTGTGATGGTGAAGACATACTTCTGATATTTGAAACACACCTTAACATCAGATTCCAAAGAGTTTTTGAGGTTATCTTCACCAAAGCACTTAAGAATACCCCTTCCAAACTTACCTTACCTGAAATAGAGACTTATATGAACCAACCACTGACAGATGAAGGCACTCAGCCAACCACCAAGCTACTACTGGTCTCTGACCAGAGACCAGGGAGGAAGGGGTGGCAGTACCCTACCTGCAGTAATAGCTCCTGATAGCTACTGTGGCATCTGAAACACTGGGCACAGTGGGAGAAAGCAGCAGTTCCTCATGATCTGTGCAACTGCTACTGTCCCAGGCAAAACATGAGGCCTGGCTAGCTAATTCCCTGCCATGCCTCCACTGGGAATGGAGGTGCTCTCAGGGCTTGAGGCTCAGCAGACCACATCTCCACTCACTCCACGCTCAGTTTTTTGAGCCCTCCTTTGCTCTTGGCCCCTTGTTTTCTTCACTACACTTACTAAGTAAAGATTAAGTGCAGATACTGCAGATGTTCACTTAGGCAGGGGGTCTGTTGTGCATCCCCAGGCAGAGTTCGCTCCTGCCTCTCGTCACCTGCAAGATCTCCAGGACAGAGCTCTTAAGTCTGTCGCTTCCAGAAAAATCTTTATTCTGCTTCCAATTTCCCCATGCCAAGGAATCCTGATTATTGTCTTCCCAGTAAAAGGACAAGACTGACCTCTAGGTAATGCACCAAGAGAAAGGAAGAGGGAGGATTACCCTCCAGCATGTCTCTGACAGCTCCTCTCCAAACCATTCACAGTCACTTGATTTCACACTGAGGCAGGAAAATAAATAGGTAGGGAAAACATACTGCAGTTACGTGTAATTCAGACAGCTAGCTATCTGCATCTAGGAAAAAGAACTGAAAGTTAACAGCATGCTTCCTCTCCTTCCTCTCAGCTAACAAAGACATGCAATTTCTGCATACTAAGTACACTGCAGAGGAGGAGAGAGAGAGCAAAGAAAGTAGGACAAATCCAGACTGTACAGGGCATTCTTTTCTCTGGCATAATGAGCTGCCGCAATTCAACCATTAGCATTCCTTGGTATCCATTTCTCCTTTCCATGCTTACTCACATGCATTGATATTGCTGAGAAAGGCTGAATCATCAGGAAACCTAAGATTATCCAAGAAGCATGAGTGCTGCTGCAGAATCAGCCCCATAAAAGACTCATACTGAAAAGCTTCAGGAATCCTCAGAAGCACCCTTGTGATTCCTTTCTATGGTACTTTTTAGCAGATGACATGGGATGTTGTTGGTTTGGGGTGGTTTTGTCTGTTTTTTTAAAGATGCCCACAGAAGGCAGCAGCATACAGTGCACACAGACTCCCCATTTCCTTGGGTTAGCTTAAAAGCAAGTGTCTAGATTACATTAAGCAGCATCCTTTGCAGTCTCTCTTCTCCATCTTCTTTAGGCAATGCATGGAATATGCAGGCAAATGAACAGTACCAGGGGTGTCCCTGTGAACCCCACAGAGCTGGGACTGGCAACATTCAACATTTAGATAAAGATTTTTCTTTCCCCATCTTCCAGGATCATCTCCACACAGGAGCAACTGAATGTTCCTTAGCTGTGAAGCAGATCTGGATTTTGTAATGTGATGTCGTTGCCTCAACATTCACCAAAAGAAACACACAGACTTAAGGAAGAAATCAGTGACAGTGGCAGTAAGCAACATGCAGATCAAAGCAGCATTTATCCCTTCTACAGTATGTGATATGTCAGCAAGCACAACTAAGAAGCAGAAGCAAGTTCCAAAGACGTACAACCCATATCAGCTCATGCAGGTAAATGCAATGTCAGAGATGACAACTGCAGGATGGACAAACTAAGAATAGTAAGATGTCTGCAAAATCTTTACTTTTTTTCTGGATCACTACAGGTCAAGAAGAGTCATATCTTTATTGTGTAATAAACACTCGCTTTGCCCTGCTAAATGTCACTCCTTCTCTGAGTTAATGGCTTCAAGAACCAGGGATAATCTTGCACCCAAATTAAGTACCACCACAACAACTTCTTGGTTTGTATCAACATATTATATCCCTGGCATTTCCCTTATCAATCAGAACATATTGCAGACAAACACTGTAAGCAATGCACTTGGAAAAAGGCACCCACCCCATCACCCTGTGCATGGGGAGGTGGGCAGGGTGTTCAGCTCTTCCCCCACACAAGCAAGAAATGACATTTTGCATTATATTCTTTACCTTGTAGCAAACATTGCTCTCAGGGAAGAGAAGGTAGCAGCATCTTCTTTCAAAGCCTTCAGCTCATTTCGTAGCTTCATCATGGTCTCTGTAACCATAGCTTTCTCATTTTCATACTTGCTTTTTAGGTTGGCAAGGGCTACTTCTGCAGTCTGTTGTTTACCAAAAAGAACAGAAACCTGCTAGTTAATGAAACTCTTCACAAAGTGTCTGGCTAAGGAAACTAATCACTATTCACATGATGAAACATTTACTTTGTACTGGAATGTTAAAATTTTGGTCAACTTTTCTTGTACAGATTAAATAAGATCTCATTTTTGAACACTGGAAACAGATTGGACATATGAGTCTCCTACTCCCACTAACGATGCGGCAGCATATAGGGTAGTTATAGAATATACATTTAGTGACTCCCACCTCCAACCACTAAAAGAAATTAAGCTTTACATACTTCAAATACAAAATAGTCTATCTAGTATCTCTGTATTTAAATGCACTCATCAATTACTTGCACAATTCTCTAACCCTTACAGCCATTTGCCTATCTTTTCATTTTGAGATACCTTTATTAAAATGTACAAAAAAACCCAAAAGTATGTATACATTTCTTAAACAACACTATACTTTTTTTAAGACAACTTTAATTTGCACTACTGTAACTTCAGAGGAGACAACGAAGCATGTCATGTGTCTTAATGGCAGTTATTTTTATCTAGTGCACTGCTAAGGTGTATCAAATGGCACAGCCCAATCCCCAATGCCTAATTTTACCTCTCACCCCTGTTATTTGGACCATGTTCTTATATCACATCCTCATCTTAGTAGGCTTTCTTTTGTTTTACAGTTTGAGAGAGAAGAGTACTTAAGAACTCTTGGAGGTGATCTTGCCCCTCTTGTGAGACCTCACTTGGAGTATTGTGTACAGTTCTGGTGTCCTCAACATAAAAAGGACATGGAGCTGTTGGAGCAAGTCCAGAGGAGGGCCACGAGGATGATAAGAGGACTGGAGCACCTCCCGTATGAAGACAGGCTGAGAAAGTTGGGGCTGTTCAGCCTGGAAAAGAGAAGGCTGCGTGGAGACCTCATAGCAGCCTTCCAATATCTGAAAGGGGCCTACAAGGATGCTGGGGAGGGACTCTTCATTAGGGACTCTAGTGGTAGGACAAGGGGTAATGGGTTTAAACTTAAACGGGGGAAGTTTAGGTTAGATATAAGGAAGAAGTTCTTCACAGTGAGGGTGGTGAGGCACTGGAATAGGTTGCCCAAGGAAGTTGTGAATGCTCCAACCCTGGAGGTGCTCAGGACAAGGCTGGACAGAGCCTTGGGTGACATAGTTTAGTGTGTGGTGTTCCTGCTCATGGCAGGGGGGTTGGAACTAGATGATCTTGAAGTCCTTTCCAACCCTAACTATTCTATGATTCTAACTCTTTTGAGTTACTACTCAAAATTACTACTAGAATTAGGTTACTACTAGAACTCTGCCAAGTAGAAAGTAAGATTTACCTCTTCATTTTAGGTGCCTTACATGAAATATAATCTGATCTAATTCAGACAGGCAGTAGGGTTAATTAATAGTCTCATGAGTATGTGACAAGCAAAAGTCAGTTAAAGCCACAGTGCTGAACTTTACAGTAGGACAGCTGTGTGCCTTTAATGAAACAGTCTGCTTCAGTCTGGTACCAAACAAGTACCAGCAACAAAAGCCCTTCTGAGCTGAGAGCATGGCAGCATGACCTCGAAGATTCATTCTATTGTGTTTATGACTTAATTCCCTGACACTATAACCTTCATATCTCTGAGATCTGGTTACCTGTTTGTTGGCCTTCAGCACAGTTCTCAGAGTTGCTATCTGTTCTCTTTTGGTGCTCAGCAGGGACTTCAACTTCAGGATTTCTTCCATGAGTGCTTCCTTGTCTTTGTCCACCACTGGCCCCAGTTCCTGAGTGGCAACACGCTGCCTGGACAACTCGGTGGTTCTGTCCACAGCAGCTTGCAGGTGTTTGATCTGATCCCGGATTATAGCAATCAAGTTGTAAATATTCATTGGTTCCTTCTGAGGATCTGACACAGGTGATGGCAGCGATGACACTGGAGATGGACTGCTGTCACCACTTCCATTCTCTACTTTTCCTAGCTCTATAGTTAACAGCCCCTTAGAAAGGAGAATGGGAGACCTTCTTCCCTTGGCCTCTGGGCTACTGCGTCCACCTTTACCTTCCTTGTAGTAATCCAGCATCACTCTGTTTGGAGTTTCATTGTTGCACATGCAGACATGGTGATATAAATTGGCCAGTTCTTCACTGAAGGTGACTAGTTCATCTTGGGCCAAGCTGAGGCTACCCTGTGTTTCTCCGGCAACATCACTGACTTTCTTCAGCTCTTTCTCCAGCCTGGCCACCTGTTCTCTATCATGCCTACTGGATTTTTCTAGGGAGGTGACCTTTTCACTGAGAGCTTGGCTCTCAGTCTCATATCTGCTCTTCTCTTCCTCATACTTAGACTCACATTCTTTGTATTTGGCCTTAAGATTTTTGAGCTCTTCTTTTAGGTCAGTAATTTCTGCCACAGCCACTTTGTACTTGCATTCCAGGATCTCCAGCCCATTGATGTCAACTTCATAATAGTCTCCATCTTCATGGCTGTCTCGGTCCTTCTCATTGTCAAGCGCAGACTGATGTTCCTTGCTGACCTGGAGTTTCTTCATTGCATTTAAGTTTTCTGTGAGTCTGCCAACTTTCTCATGCTGCTCTGAGAGGGCCCCTCGTGTGTTTTCCAGCTGCTTCTGCGATTCCTGTAATGTTGTTAACAGGTTCACCTTTTCTCTTTCCATCTGAAATGCATGAACACAAACATTACTTAAAGGGAACTGTATCACTTAAATGGTTTTATTATAAAAACCAGCAACTTAGCCAAGATCCATATGGTTACAGAAACCACTTGCACATTATGTGGGCTATTTAATTTATTCTAAAGGTTATTTATTTTTAATTTATTAAAAAGCTACTTAATTTGTTCTAAAGCTATTTTGAGCACAGTGTTCCTTGCCAATTCTTTCTCATTTTCACTTCAAAATCCGCATTTTACAAATTTCTTCCATAGCTGATGGTCTCAGTGTGAAAATATTCTTCCAGCTGAAGATAAGCAAAAGTTCATTGTTATCTTGCAAATTATCAAGTTATTAGAAATAGCATTAGAAAATATTAGAAAACTTGCAGCTAGTCTGTGGTGGAAACTTTGAGTTTCATGAAAGACTCAGAAATACTGAAACCTTCTCCTCTGAAAGGTCTCATTTTGAAAAAATCCAGCTATTTTTTCCACAAAGGCTTTTTCTATGGAAAACTTAAAAAGTGCTTGACAAAACATTTAAAACATTTCTGGGCAACATAAATACACACCTTGTTTCAAACACTCTAACCTCCCAATAGCACAAATATAACACAGAAATGCTTGGTACTGATTAAAACTTCATGTTCTTTGAACTAATTAGAGAAAGGAGTTCTGATGTATAAAACTTCAAATGAAGATGACTGGAGTAACTATCAGTTTTCAAACAAAATACTATCTTTCTCACTAGGGACACAATGAAGTAGGCACACCATGTACTACTGCACAGAAGATGCACTACAACGATCCTCCAAACACAGGACATGACTGCTAGTTTTTCTGCACATGAGAACAGCGGCATGCTACAGTTTTTCACTGACAAGCTTTTAACACCCTCAAGTTCTAAATCAATCAGAGCCTTTACAAATATAGTTCATACTGTATGGTGTCCATGTGAGATATTGAAAAGACCGAAATAACAACCCCAGTAAACTCTAGCAGCTATTTGGAAGTACACAGTTGTTTAGGAAGCCCATATACCTGTACAAGCTGTTGTTTCAGCTTCTGGATTTCAGAAATGTTTAATTCACTTAGAAGATCTGAAACCAGACTTGGGGCTGGTGGGAAGCTTTCATTTTTCTTGGGTGTTGATGTACTATTCTTGCCATTGCTGAGTTTGCTGAGGCAGTTTTGTTCGAATCCATTCATGATTTCATCATTATTGGGCTCTGTAGCTTCATCACTGAACTTAAGACCATCTAAAGAGATATTCAGGTGGCTGTTGTACATGGAATCATTGATGTTCATGTAGTGAGAGAGCTCCTTACGAAGGTTGTTCTTCTGCTCCCGCTCTGTCTTCAGTGTCTCTAAGGCTTCCTCAAGCTGCCGTTCGGAGATTTCCTTCAGCCGTATGGCATCTTCTAGCTGGCTGTTGAGAAATTCTGTTTCCTCTTCAAGCCTTTTGATTTCATGTTTCAGGCCTTCAAACTCCACCTGGAGATATACAAATGAGGGGATGCCGGGGAACACAAATGAAAATGTCTGCCTACAAGGCACCAAATTATTTTACTTTTGCATGTTTGATTCACCAAATATGGTGAGAATAATTTTTTTCAGTACTGGAGTCTAGTTTTGGCACTTTGACTGCAAACTGCTTACACAACTTACCTTCCTAAAGAGCAAGGAAGAAAATTTCTAAGCAAACCAGGAATGAGCTGATCTATTCCAGCTTAATTAAGACAGGTGGGAGATACAGCGTGTGATAAAGGAATCACAAAACAGGCTTTCCTAGCACATTATGAAAACTCCTTCTCTGTTTGATTAACAAATTCCCTGTCCAACCTTCCCACAAATTCAAGCTCAACATTTTCAAAATCCAGCATTGCAAAGCTATGCTGTTGACACTCTGCTGCACTGCTGTTAGAATATGCCACTGGGTTTAAAACTGTTTGGATGCAGCAATCACACTCTGCTTTTAGATATTCAAAATCAAATGTTTTATCATCTGTGTCACCATCATCATTTCAGCACATCTTGAGAGCTACAATTTATAGACTACACTTCAGACTCCCGATGCCGCTACATGAAATTTGATGTCATGTCTAAGTTTCATGTATAAAATTGCCTTTTTCTAAACCTCTTTTACACTGAAATTATGAACACCAAAGACTGGGGTAAAATTTTGACAAAAGTCCTTGGACAAAAAAAAAAAAAAAAAAAAAACACCAAAAAAATTCTAAAGAATACTTTGAAAGGAAAACATGCCACGATACATTTATTTTTGCCAACTGCTAGAGGAATTTTAGATGCCAACATACACCAATCTGGTGGTGCTGAACCACACCTGATTTAAAAACCAGGAACCAATTATGCTAATTCAGTTTTGCAAGTTACGCCTGGGAAAACTTGACAGCTTCTTCTAGTTACGTCAGTAGGATAATGAAAGCTTACTGAAATTTATGAAGTAAGATTAGTAATGATCCACTGTCATCAACAGAATTAGATCTTTGTTCTATATATGTCCACTGAGCTCAAATACTCAAGATTGCAGTCTATTTCCAGAGGTTACAGAATACAAACAGGTAGCCAATAATTCCTAGTAACTGACAATCAAGACAGCATCTGAGGTGAAAGTTAGCTCAACCCACAATGATTGCACTCTTGAATATTGGTATTTTAGAATGTGAACACTGAGCTTCTACTTGCTCCTCCAAGTATAATGAATGGGATAAAAATGCCCCTCTTTTGGGCACATGAGCAAGGCCAAAGTGATAAAAACACTGACATGCAATTTCACCTGGAAATAAATGAAATACATTCAATATCCCAAACACCCTGCTTGGTGGGGCAGCTTTCATTCAGAACTCTGGAGGAGTTCTGAAGCAAATCCTAGAAAGTTTTTGCTACGTGCTCATTACACCAGATGGTATTAAACACTATTGTTTTCTTCAGGAACTTGTATTTCAGGAATATTATACCATTTTCTCAATGGAACCTCAAGTTTTATTTATACAATAGGATGATGGATACCTGAAGAATAAAAATACCAAGTTCCCATCTGATATGTGAAGACAGTAAATCATGTCAAAGGCTACATCTAAGCTAACTAACTCTGCTAATGGTGACTCAGGAAAATTCTTCAGTTGTTCAAAAAATGCAATTTTCTAAAATTCTGAAAATAGTCGGAACTGTGCAATTAAAAATGTGACCTTTTGCATGAGCAGTCACACGGGTCTGACAGTATAGAGCAAATATAACAGTAGCCCATGCTTAACAAAAATAGCTGGGAGAGAGGAGGAGCATAGAACTGGAGAGACAAAGTAAGCAATAAGTAGCATTAAAAACATATGTTCAGAAATACACCCAGTTACAGATGGGTGGATGGACAGGTAGATGGGAGAGTACTGCAAAGAAACGTTAAAATACTAGCGTAGCAAAGACTAAACGAAGCAACAAAGCAGACTGGTAGAAAATTCTATCAAAGAGAGAGAAGGCAGTGGAATGACTTGGAGGTCAAAGTAGAAGTGATGAAGTCTTATGACAGTGTATAAACAGAGACAGAAAGGACTTAAACATTTTGGGACAACTCTTGGTACTAAAAGAAAGAGCTTATAGTCTCAAAGGTAGTACAAAAAAATCAGTGGTTGGATGCTGAAATGAGACAGAACCATGCTGTAACACAGGAATTAACTGTTGCTACCAAAGCAATGCTCACTATTTTGAAAAACTTGCCTGGTTTTGCTTCAGGACAGACACTTGTTTCTGGAGACAGATGTTTTCCTCTTCAAGCTCAGTGTAGTCTTGCAGCAAACGTGCTTCTCTGAATTTATATTCCTTAATATCATCTCGTAGACGGGTCCTTTGGATCTCCACATTCTGATTGACCTGGAAAAACAAATGAACCCCACAATGGTGGTGATTTGGACAGCTATAACTAATTTTCCTTATGTGCACTAATCAATTAGATTCTATTCAAACAAATTCTTCCTCCCTGCTCCCCCACATGACGTACAGAAACCCAAGTCATCTATACACAATAATTAGATTTTGTTTTCCATCTTCTCTTACAAATTCTCACCCTTGACTGAGAGAAAAGTCAATAAGCAAGCAGGGAAAGCAACATTCACACCTGTATTGTCTCACTGGCTGTCAAAAGTTTTCCAGATCAGAAGTCAATGCCTAATTCTGTTAACACTTAAAACAAGATGGGTCTTTTCAAAAGAGACAGACAGTTGCAGATGACTCCAGACATTTGGACATGTATTTGCTGCTGCTTTTCAACAGACCTTTTCTTTATGCCCAGTGCAATAATTTGGAAATATGTTCTAATGTAACTCTTTGGAGAGAGCCACCAAGTTAAACTCAAATGAAATCCAAGATTCTAGTCAGAAAGAAATAGCAACTGTGGTTGACTTATAAAATGTTCCCTTCCCTCAGCCCCAAGACTCGTTCAAGAACTCAAAGAAAGACCTGAAAAGAAAAAAAATTACCGTTATTTCTTTGGGATAGATGAGAAATGAAAATTAAAAAATTAATATACTGAAGTAGGATGATGTTTAGATCTTTCGTGACTATACAGAGAAACGAATGAATTGAATTAGAACATATTCAGCTGTGTAAATGGCTCACTGTACTTAGCCCTTATTTTTTTCAACATTATTTTCCTTGAAGCCACATTTTAAATCCTAATTAAAACAAAGAGAAAAATATCTTCTTCAATATTAGAACAAATTTCTTCAGAGATGGGAAAACAGGCAGTACAGTTGCCTATGAAAATAGTGTCCAGATATTTTAGCAGCTGTACCTGTGAAATGACAGGATGGTTTTCCAAACAGCTCTAAATCAGTGCAAAACAAAGTTAAGGTCATGAAAGAGGCCACCGATCAATTGTTGAAATAACAGCAGTTCAGTAACTAAGGTATAATACAAACCACTACTGCTACCAATAATAATAAGAGGAATAACAAGGGGAGAGAACACAACTGCTCACCACCCAGCCCGACCCGAACAGCGATCTGGGCCTTCCGCCCAGAGAAAATGGGTAACTCTCCCCAGTTTCTATACTGGGCATGACATGCTGTGGTATGGAATACCCCTTTGGCCAGTTTGGGTCAGGTGTCCAGTCTCTGCTTCCTCCCCGCTTCCCGTCCTCCCTGGCAGAGCATGAGACTGAGAAAGTCCTCGGTCAGAGTAAACATTACTTAGCAACAACTAAAAACATCAGTGTTATCAGTATTGTTCCCAGGCTGAAAATCACAAACACAGCACTGCACCAGCTACTAAGAAGGAGAAAAAAAAAAATGACTGCTGTAGATGAACCCAAGACAACTAGGTAGGTTATGTATCTTATTTCTCGTTCCACCTATCTAGCAGCCTAGCTGGGAAAGCCTCATCCTCCTATAAGTATACAAACTTAGCTTCCCTTAGCGTTCTCCACTTCTCGTTAGAAACAGGAATGTCAGCAATGAATAAAAGCTGGTCTCAGTCCCTTTGCAAATGTGCTGCAGGAACATACAGAAGAAATACAACACAAGTATCAACAGACCCCTACAGAAGCTAAGTGATAAAGGAAATGTTCACAGCAGGAGCAAACTTTAATCTGACACGTTCTGAACACAAACACAGAATCACCTGAACTGTTAGGACCAAAACATGTAAATTATAGCTCCCCACAAGTCAGGTACAGAAAGATTACATGCTAGAAACTTGCCTGCTTATTTTTAGCAATGAAGAGCCCTGCCTCCCAGCACACTGAGGAGCTAAAATCAACATTAATTGCTGAAACCAGACACTACAGCATAGCAGTGCAAACGAGAAGTTGCTACATTCCATATTCCAGGCCTAAGCAACTGTTGGCTCTATCTTTGCACAGACCTAGGGCACACAGGGAAAGGTGCCTGCAGGTAGCTAAAGGCTACAGGCTGACACGAATTCACATCCTGACTTCTTCCTCCGTAACAACTGCAATGAAGACCTCTTGCCTTTGGCAGAAAGAGCCTTCAGCCACACAAATCAAACTGTTTAACAGTTAGGAATGCAAAAGGCTCTTGCATCAGAGTTCCATACAAATTAAGAGATCTTATCCATAATTTTCCCTGTTCCTGAGTAAGTGAAATGAAATGGAAGACCTCCCACAAAGCTACTGGTGAGCTGCTCTCCCCACCACTCAGGTTGCTTTGCTCCTCTTCCTCCCTGGATGACCTAATCTTTGCAGAGGTCAATGCCTGAAGAAATCACTGGAGCCAGTCTTTTCTGAAGAAGGAATGGTTTCTGCCTAATCCTGCCTGTTTAATTCAGAGCAGCAGTAAGAGCTCGTTATTTAATGTGAAAGTATTGTCATGCTCTGCCTAGCGCAAGAAAATTCATTCCACTTCTGTGCATGCAGGAAGGCCAGATTTAAAAATAGCTCCCTTGTTTCCTGACTGGGGAAGGAAGATATAACCCAGATTTATTGGCTGTTTAGCAAGCTGTGCATTCAGCTTGCTATTAACATTTTTTTGTCAAATAAATGTGCATGCTTGCAAGCTGCAGGGTTAAACTGGGTGCTATGCTAGCTCATACATCTGACCAAATGGCAAGATTTCTTCTGTAGGGAAGTGAAGTTACTGCATCCTTCCTTGATCAGATTTTTTTATTACCCATATGGAAAGCGGTATTTATGTGTTTTAAGACAGACACTGCACTTGTCCTCAGAGGTGGTGCTTCACAATTCTCCAAGTCTATAAAAATGGTAAGCTGACCTACCGTTAAACTTGAACCTTTCTGTGACTCTTCCTTCAATGGCTTCTTCCTTCCTCCTCTGCCCACAACACAGGGGAGAAGGGGGAGCAGGGTCACATGAGCAGACCTGGCTGGGCTCTCAGCTTTATGAAATCCTACCTCCACCCAAAGCAAATCACACAGCACTTTAAAATATCAATACCAGAGTGGAGAACTGATGGCTGCTGAGTGTTCATCTACCTGACCAAACCCCTCAACTTCTCAACCTAGAGAATATTGCCACTACACAGAAGCCTCTCATCTATCCTGCCTAGGAAAAGACTGTGATATGAAAGTGATTTTGCCTGATCTAAAGGCCATAGACCACCCTGCTCCTGCTGCTAGAAAGCTTGTCTTCAGCATTTTCATCCTCTCAGCTTTGCCTTGGCAGAGTTCTGCAAGGAGTACCTCTGGCAGAGTTCTGCAAGTTGTCCCTCTAGCCTGCACTGTGCTAGAAATCACAGGGACCAGTTTGGATCCACCCTTGCTTGCATGTAAACTATGATAAATAGCTAGGATGCTATTTTCCACACTTTCTGCAGGAGAACAAATGTGCTGTGAATTGCACATATTCCACCTTCTCTTTTGATTTTTGTTCCCTGCAGGTTATCTGTTGTGGGTATCAACCTGACTGTGCTCAGAAACAGTGGGTATGTGCCATGTGAACTGGAGCTCTTCAGATCTTGTCTCCTGGTCCAAAAACTAAAAAGGAATACTGCAACTTCTGTTAGGAAAAAGAAATCAGGTTAGGTTTGCTCAGAGGAAGATGAGGGAGAGAAGGCCATCATCAGGAGGTGCTGCTGACTATGTATGGTTGCTGGTCCGCCCCTGCCCCAAAAGCATTTGCCCACTGCCAGGGACTGCGAACAGCCTTGTCACACAGGTGATCTTCACTGCAGTGTTGAAAGTTGAGGCTTCCAATAATTAGAACAGTTCCAACAGCTTAGAAACAGTTTGATCTAATGTAACTTTCAGGGTGGTTTTTTTTCTCTCAAATAGTTTATATATAATCATAGAATCAACCAGGTTGGAAAAGACCTTTAAAGGTCACATCCAACCATTAGCCCAGGACTACCAAGACCACCACTAAACCATATCACTGAGGGCCTCATCTATATAGTTTTGTAATACTTCCAGAGATATCGCTTGTTCTCTTCTGAAGAACCTAGAACTAAACCCTCCCAGGTCCCTCAGCCATTCCTCATCACACTTATTCTCCAGACCCTTCACCAGCTCCACTGCCCTTCTCTGGCCCCACTCCAGCACCCCAATGTCTCTCTTGCAGTGAGGGGCCCAGAACTGAACACAGGGTTCAAGGTGCAGTCTCACCACTCCCACCCAACTTGGCGTCATCTGCATATTTACTGAGGGCGCCCTTGGTCCCCCCATCCAGATCATCAATGAAGATATTAAACAACACTGGCCCTAACACTGAGCCCTGAGGGACACCACTAGTGACTGGTCTCCAACTAGATGTGCTGCCATTCACCACCACTCTTTGGGCTCAGCCATCCAGCCAGTTTCCAATCCAGCAAAGAATCCTCCTGCCCAGGCCATGAATTGCCAATCTGTCCAGGAGAAAACTGTGGGAATTAATGGCCAATCTGTCCAGGAGAAAACTGTGGGAGATAGTGTCAAATGCTTTACTTAAGTCCAAATAGACAATGTCCACGGCCTCTCTCTCACCAACAGGCAGGTCACTTTACCGTAAAAGGAGATCAGGTTGGTCAAACACATCCTGCCCTTCATGAACCCATGCTGACTGGGCCTGATCCCTCCGTTTTCTTGCACATGCTTTATGATCTCGTTCATGATATTTTGCGATAATGCTCCCAAATAGCTCTGATGCTTTAATGGAAAACCTGCAGCTGCACTGAAACTTTGATAGCAAATGTACACAAATGGCCTTGGTTCTGGTTGTGGGGTGGCTGGGTTTTGTTTTGTTTTTTAATGTAATTATTTTAATATTATTTTATTTGTTTGGGTTTGGGTTGGTTTGTTTGTTTGTTTGTTTGTTTTACACACCACCCCCCCATCCCCACCCCCTCCGTCCTCTCATTATTAAGACGCTTTGAGGGCTGGAGCAGCTCTGCTCTGGAGACAGGCTGAGAGAGATGGGCTGGGTC